GAAAACATTGGTGAATGTCACAAATTCTCCTAAATCACTCGTACACACAACTTAAGAACAAATCTGTGCGTACGAACGGTTCTTGCATGAGGCCCATTGATATAAAAACTTTTGTCAAAGCTTTTTGTTGGGTCGAACTTTTTAACCCCCTCCACAAAATAACTTTTTATTGTGGGATTGGTCAGAAGTTTGTGGGATTGATCAGAAGTCTGTGGGAGTGTTTGTTTGTGCTGAAAGCGCTCAGACGCTGCATTTTGCTTCAACCATTCGCTTCAAAAGAAGAAGAAAAAGAAGCAACTCACTTCCAGAGTTCCAGAGCTGACTGTTGCACCAGGAAGCAGCGATTTATAAAGACAGTCAAACAGACTAAAACTCATAGTTGGAGATAAAACGGGCATTGTGCACGGTGGAATCTGACTGCTAAAGACTTTGGAGCTTTAACTGGGACAGATTTGTAAATTTATTGTAAGCGCATGTAAACCTGTTAACATWCAGTATATATAGAACAGACCTGAAATGTGTAAAACTGATCAGTTCGGCATACAGCGAAACCTTTCAGCATGTTCAAAATTCTGAGCTTGGATCTCTGTATGACAACGTATGTCCTCTTACATTAACGTGTTTGGAAGTTATCATAAAATTACACCGAGCTTCCATCAACATGTTTTAGATTTTTTCTTAAATTGATGCTGTGCAACACTAACTGCTGCAGACGTTGCAGTTTCTTCCAACACGCTGCACAGAAGTTCTGCAGAAGTTCCACTAAAGTTGCACATGAGTGGTGCAGAAGTCCAACCATGTTATAATAAACATACATGTTATGTTTATTGTAGGGCTAATTTACTCGTGGGTTTTATATCTGTTCAAGTCTTTAGCAACACGGTATGATTACATCCAAAAGAAGGCGCTAATTAAAAATATATATCTTCCTCAGTGTGTGCCAGTGTGTTGGACAGAATTTGCAGATGTCTGCATAAATTGTTGAAAACTTCATAGTGACAGGGCCTTTAGAATGTCATCTCTGGTTTTATACAGCACATGAAGCAGGWGCTAAATGTGTTCTGGCTTTGGTTTGACATTAATAAATGCTCTCTTCTCCCAGGACCTGCTGGTGACTGCTGCTTTTGCCTTCCTATGGCTGGTGTCCTCCTCAGCCTGGGGCAAAGGTCTGACTGATGTCAAGTGGGCCACGAACCCCAACCATCTAGTAGAGTCATGTCACTCCATGTCATGTCATCCTGGAGAGTTTCCCTCTATGGGCCGTCTAAACGCCTCTGTGGTAAGTTTTATTAAGATATGTCCCATATCTTCACCACTTAAACCCTGCATCTTTTTATTCACTTCTAATATAAACCAAAGATTCTCACTGTAATTCACATTTGTCCTGTTCAATGTTTATACAGAAATCAAGCACTTTACAAACTTTGAAAACAGTTCAAATTCATCATTTTCAAGCACACGTATGAAGTCCTTGAAAGTGTTTGATAATCTCACTGCACAGTTTTATAATAACTGTACCTGTTTTGAAGAAAACCCTCAATTTGATATTTTTATGTTAAACACATACAGTGGTTTGCAAAAGTATTCATACCCCTTGAACTTGAACTGAATATGGTTTTGGAGAAGTTTAAAGCAGGCTTAGGTTATAAAAAGATTTCCCAAGCTTTGAACATCTCACGGA